AAAGTACCATGTTTCTCCTGGACTTTTATGGTTGTTTAGTGGGTTGTACTAGGGAACATAGTAGGGACCATGTTGGGTGGATGTTGGAAGATGAATGGGGCTGTTTTGGTTTCCTATTGTGACCAGGGATTAAAATAGATAGAAGAGACTTTATTTTGGATATCAAAAGGAAATAAAATACTTTTGGATGTTTGGGGTTGGGTTGGACGGAAAAGGGGGTTGACTAGCGGAACCCTTAGGTCAAAACGAAAGTTATTTTGGCCTTTCGGACTAAAGGACATTGAATTCTCACTAAAAAGGATCATAATGTTTGAACCTAAGTCCTTTGGTTTCCATGAGGGTGTGGGATATGGGGGAGGGTATGATAGGCTCGGGCCCAGATATATCACAATGGATTCATCAAAGGAGTCATTGAAAAACCTTGTTCAAACTTCAAGATGGAGAAGATCTCATATTGGTCCAAATCTATGTGGACGACATCGTATTTGGCTCAACTAAGGAAGCTCTTTGTACCAAGTTCTCCACTCTCATGCAAGGAAAATTTGAGATGAGCATGATGGGGGAACTCAACCTCTTCCTTGGTCTTCAAATCAAACAGAGAATTGAAGGGACTCTCATCAACCAAGCCAAGTACACTAGGGATCTTATCAAGAAATTCAAAGTTGATCAGAAGTCATCCGTTTCTGTCCCCATGAGTACATCCACCAAGCTTGATATGGATGTAGATGGAAAGGATGTTGATCAGACTCTCTACAGAGGAATAGTTGGATCTCTACTCTACGTTACTGCAAGCCGTCCGGATATCTCATATGCAGTAGGTGTTTGTGCCAGATTCCAGTCAAAGCCAAAGGAAAGTCACTTAATTGCAGCCAAAAGGATTTTTAGATACCTCAAAGGAACTCAGAATATGGGTTTATGGTATGCTAAGAGCAGCTCATTTGAGTTAGTTGGATACTCAGATTCTGACTTTGCCGGATGCAAAGTTGACCGGAAGAGTACATCTGGTACTTGTCAATTCATTGGTGGAAATCTAGTTTCTTGGTTCAGTAAGACACAGAACTCCATCTCTACATCAACAGCAGAAGTAGAGTACATTGCTGCTGGTAGTTGTTGTGCTCAAATCTTGTGGTTAAAGCAACAACTACTGGATTATGGAGTCAAAACAAAAGAAGTGACAATCTTTTGTGACAATCAAAGTGCTATAGCCATCTCACAAAATCCAGTGCATCATTCTCGCACTAAGCACATTGATGTCAAGCATCACTTCATCAGAGATCATGTGGAAAGGAAAGATATCAAAATTGAGTATATCTCAACTGAAGAACAATTGGCGGATATCTTCACAAAACCACTAAGTGAAGCCAAGTTTTCCGATTTGCTTCACAAAATTGGTCTAATTCAATTGGACTGAGTGCGGTACACGTGGCAGTCCACTTTCCACGTCTGTCAAAGTAATGGGTAGGCACGTGGTCTTGGGAACAGTTAAAAACCCAATCGCCACTAGCTGCATAAATCGCCCAAAATTGAACCCAATCGCCACTATATTCAGATCTCAACTGCCCACTCAAATCTTCGTCGTCTTCCTCACAAAAACTCTCAAAAACCCTAAAATTCTTCAGATTCTTTCACTAAAATTTCAAAGAAAATGAAGATTGTTGGCGCTAATGTCCATTTCCAGAAATTGGAAGCCAAGTGCTCTTCACCGGCGTTCTATCAGACATACCTGGAGATGATTGCTGCACAAGAACTCTCCGAAATGCCAACCCCGATGAGTTGGTAGAAAAGGAACCAGTTGAGGAAGACTCTGCACACAACCAGAGCCCTCAACAGCTGGATGAAGAAACTCCCCAAAATCAGAGTTTTCCATCTCCTCCACTACAAGTTCAGACTGATGATGCAGTAAGCCAATTCATGCAGCTCTACTTTGATTGGAGAACTTGGAAGGTTGGAAACTCTGCAGATCAGTTGTTGGGATGGGATCAACAACTGAAAAATGAAAAGATAATCAAAAGATGCTTGGGTCTGCCAAGTCAACCATTGCTGTGAGCAAATTCTGGATGATGACTGGGTGTGGCAAAGAACCTATGAAGATCTACATCTGGAACACTTGGCCACCTCACCAATCTCAGAATTTGAAGTTGATGATGAGGAAACTGCAGTCTACAAGCCAATCTTTTCAAAGGCAACAGAAGATCAGATGGTTCTCACCACTGAAGCACAGGCTAACATGGAAGCCATAGCAGAGGATTTCCAAAATTTTCCGGAAACCTTCCCTGCTTTTGAAGCTGGTGTTGCAGAACAGAACCAGGAAGCATCAGAGGAAGAACTTCAGCAACTCCTCCAATCTCAAGTTCTAGAGATCCTCACAACTCCTTGTGAGATCTCCAAATCAACTGAACTTGAGATTCCGGAGAAGTCAAATGAAAATCTGGAGAAGTCCACTCCTCCAGAAACAAATGAAGCTCTTCAGGAAGACTCAGCAGTTGAAGTCCAGAGAAGTTTTGCAGAAGCTGAAGGAGAAGTTCAAATAGCTAGGCTGGAGGCCTCTGAACCTCCAGTAACTATCCTGGAGCAGCAAGCTAAAGATGAAGTCAGAGATTCCCTCTCTAGAGAAACTTCTAATTATGCACATATGAAGAGACAGAGGAAGAGTCAGTGAAGACCCTAAAGATTGATGAAGAAGAAGTTGAGCAAGGAGATGATGCTGAATCCCTCCCTCTGCAACTCTTCCACAGAGTACCTTCTTCAAAACAGGTAACAAACTTCCACTTTCACAGCTCTTCCACATCTACCCCTCCGGATGAGATTCCAGAAACCTTGACAAGAAAGGTCCAAGGGTTGATTGAATCAGCCCTAGAATCCCAGCATGCCTCTTTTAGGCAAGAGATAGAGCAGATGGAAGCAAGGCACAACAAATTGATGGAGAAATCTGAAGAAAAGTAATGCTCAAGTCTCAATGAGATAAGCAAATCTGTAGACAAAACTCTAGAGATCATTTCTCTATTGAGTAAGTCTGTGAGCAATACAATGATGGCCTATGCATCTGACTGCCACCTTCAATTCAAAGAAGCCACTGAAATCAAGCAGCAGATTGCCACAGTCACAGTCAACCTTCAGAAGCAGATGTCACTCCTCCATATGGATATCAGATCAGCCTTGGCAGTGTCATCAGCAAACCAGGTGGTAACTCAAGATTACCTAAAGGTTCTTGCTAACAATCAGAAGGAAGCATTCAGACTCTTCAGGCACTTTGGTACCTTCACTGGAAAACACAAGCTGGAAGTGATTGTCCAACCCAGAAGTCCATCTCAAATTCCAAAGTTTCCGATTGAAGTTAAACAAGGAGAACTCTCATACATTCCATCACATCTGAACATGACGGAGCTGATACTTGAAGCCCAGCAGAGCAATCCGGAGAACTCAATCAAGCATCTATCAAACACTAAGTTTGATGGAACAGAAGTTGTAGGAACCATTGTCTCCCACTTCACAAATGATGCCCAAACAGAAGAAAGATATAACAACCTCAAGCGCATCCAGGAAGAATGTGGAGTTATGCAAGGCATTGGTGAGATTGCCGGATCATCCAAGCGCAAAAAGAAGTAAAGGCTCTTTTCATCAAAACAGGGGGAAGTATTGAAAACATTATTTATGTTTTGATGAAAACACCTTCTTGTTTAAACATGAGCTCTTGGTTTAAACCATGCTTCATACATCTTTAAATTATGCTTGAACATATTTATTCTAAGTATAATTTTTGGGATTTATCATTGAGCGCATACATTCAGGGGGGAATGTAATTCACGGGGAACTTAACTGTTCTTGGCTAACAATTGTTTTTGGCAATGAATTATTAATGAACTCTAAGCAATGGAAGACGGATACCTCAGTTTAGTACTAAAGTTGGAGAACTCCGATTTAGGTACTTTACAAAATCTGCCTTCTTAAACTGAGTTTTAATCCTTAATTCATTTCCAACTTTGCTCTAAAGTACTAGTCCTTAGGATTTTTCTAATGTACAGGACTTTGGAAAAATAGTACCACTTTTCTTTTAAAAATGAATTTCATATTTTTTGGTACTACCTCGTCCTAATTAGAAATTAGAACTATAGGGAATGAAAAATGATAGTTTATTTTGGGCCTTGAGAACCCAATAGGAATAATTTCCCTTTAGTGCATAGATTTTTTTTTGGGCCACTTTTTGGGCTTGGCCAAACCAGAACAGTTACATTGTTCAAACCAAACGAAACTGATTTTTAATTGGAACAGTTTCAACACTTTGGTAACTGGTAAAAGATTCCTTCAACTTTTCAGATTTCAACTTCTTGGAAGTTGAAACTCTTTTACTCTCACCGTTCCAACTACCCACTTAATGGAACCGTGAACCTCCCCTCTCTCAACTTCTCCTCCTACTTAAACCAAGACATTCCAATCCATTCCTATCACAAACAACTCTCTCAATATGAAAAGTTTTCAAACTCACTGTCTGAGAAAAACACCAAGAAATATATCCTCAATGGAGAAATTTTTCTTCCTCACCCTCATAGACGACAATGGAGAAAGCCTGGTGAGAAGAAAAGATACTCAAGATATTTGGTGGGAATCTCGGCAGTAGAGAAGATATTTGGTGAGAATCTCGCATATTTTTGCATCTCGCCACATATCTTCTCTGGAACAACACTCTCTCCATTTTTGTTTCATCTTTTTCCTTTTCTCTTTTTTGGTCATCAAATTTTATTTTTTAAAATTTTTCTTGGCCTACTTTCATCTCTCCCTCTCCCCTTCTTTCTTTCTTTTCTTTTCTTTTATTTCTGCTGTCTCTGCACCCTTCTCCCAAGCCTTTTTCAAAAATTTTTCCTTCATCTTTAAAATCCCTTCTTTTATCTTTTTCACAATCAATTCTCTTTTCCAAAACCTTTTTCTTGTCCTTCTGTCTTTTTCTTCTATTTTCTTTTTGTTTTTGTTTTTGCTTTTTGGAGAGATGTTGCTTCCTAGATCTCAAATATCCACTTTGGATATTAAAGAACCATCAAACGCAACGCCATCTGTACTACCAAGCAAAATCCGCTGGAAATGAAAGCAGCAAATGGCAAAAAATATCACAAATCTCAAGACAAGACTTGGTTTAGGAATTATTGTAATTTGAATTGTATTTGTTTAAGAGTTTTTGTTAACAAGCTGTATATTATGAGAAACTAAAAGAAACTTATAAAATTAGTTCTCAGTACAGCGACCGGAACTCTTAAACACTTGTTTGTCATCATCAAAAAGGGGGAAATTGTTGGGAAAAATATTTGTAATAGGGACTTTAGGTCTCCCCCAATATTCAATGTAATTTTTCTTTTTAGAAATATTGTTAAAACCGAGTTCTTGAGATTTTCAATTGAGTTGTGATATTTCACTCTGTGGTTTGATGTCAATGTTTGGAGACTTAATCAAATTCAGTGATATGGAAATTGGATATCTTGATCGGATATGTCAGAGACAAGTAAGGAATTCTCAAAGCAGTTGATTACTTTGAAGATCCTCTATTCCGGAACACTACATGATAACCGGATGTCTCGCTTCAAACCGATGAAGGCTATGTCATCCAGATCAGAAGACTAGCGCGGATTTCTTTCTCACCCGGAAGTCTGTAAATAACCTTTCCGGATTCGTCAGCAAAGAACCGGATGCCTCAAGAAAAACTGAAATCCTCAAAAGCGGACAAGTGAGAAAAAGACTTGGTTAAATTCTAAGTCTTGAATGAAGAAATTCTATCAGTTGGTAAGGAAAACTCAATCTCTTGATTTTCAACGGCTAGATTGAAGATAATTATGCTGATTCAAGAACAAATGACTTAAAGACAAAGTCTGGACCTCTCAAATTGAAGAGCTCGCCCAGAATTCCTAAACAAACACTAGAAGACAAACTGAGTACTCCACTCAATAAAGAGCTACAGTCCAGAATTCTTGAACAAAAGCTAGAAGACAGATTCTGTGAAAAAAGGAATCCCTCCTCAAACAATTGGGTACGTCCAAACACCCATTCCAATGAAGAATCTTCAATCACAATCTTCATTCAAAATTAAATCCAGCAAATGCAACGGATAGTTTATTTTGATTCAACGGATAGATTACCCAATTCAGCTATAAATAGCATCTTTGGAAGACTGGAGAAAAACATGAGATAGAAAGCACAGAACTCAACTAAGCAATCTCCAACAACAAAGCTATCTCATTCACAGTTAGCCAAAAAACTTGATAAAGAGAGATTTCTAAACTCCTTATCCAGAAGCAAACTTCTCCTCCTTCCAAAGAGCTATAGTGTAAACACTTGAAGGTTTCCTTGCCTCAAGTACCACACCACGTTGAAGGATACAACTTTTAATCAAAATTCTTGATTAAAAAGGGGTACATCAACTTTCCTACAAGTTGATCTTGCAAGTTCTATTGTTCGGATCTTGCACTTGTTGAAGAAGCTTGACCTTCGAAGGAACAACAAAGCTAGCATGAGTGCAATTGCAACATTGGCCTCGCGAAGATATACCGTGCAGAAATTCACACAAGTGTAATTGTTGGTTCATTATTCAACAACCAACTACATAGTGGATTTTGAGGACGTAAAAGGATTACCCCACCTTCGAACCTCGTTAAAGTTTGTGTGTCTCTCTCTTTTATCTTTACTTATACTAGCAATTATATTAACTGTGAAAACTAACTCATCCATATTGATTACTGCTCAATTACCCACCAACTTCCGCACACAATCTAAGGTTCACAAGAACTCTAGATTAAACACTCATTTTCAAGTTTTCAAAAGAAACGAAAAAAATTTTAATTTGTAACAAAGTCTATTCCCCCCCCCCCCCCCTCTAGACTTTGTATCTCACCACTTTGGGGCCACCAATTTGTTAAAAAAAGTATTTTTTATAATACTATATTGTTGATATTTGAATAAGAAGGAGAGATATTTAAGATAATTGTTAAATATTTTAGGGAGCATATTATATTTTTTATACATGATTTATATTAAATCTTTATAATAGAGCTTCTCTATGGGGTGGTCAGGGGTAGGAGGAGATAGAGGATGGGGGTGGGTGGGGAAATGAACTTATTGAATGAGAGTATTTGTAGATTTTCATTCAAAATAATTAAAAGTCATTTCTTATCTTTGATAAAATATTTATCCCAAACAAAATGATTTCTAATACTTATGCAACCTAACATAGAAAAATAGAACTAGATTTTAATTTGATGGAAATTTTTTTCTATGCCTAACAGATCTTAAGGGTTAGAATACAAAAATAAAAAAACATTAAAAAGTTAAATTAAATATTTGGAATCGACAAAAAATTTGTTCGACCCGTGCGTGGCACGGGTTAAAAAACTAGTATATATATGTGTGTGTGTCTGTATACACACACACACACACACACACACACACACAGATATATATATATATATATATATATATATATATATATATATATATATATATATATATATATATATATATATATATATATATATATATATACATACATACATATATATATATATATATATATATATATATATGTTAGACAAGGCGTGCAACTCTAGAGGGGGGTGAATAGAGTTGTTGAGAATGATTACCGATTTTCGCAGGATTAATAATATAAACGTAAGTGCAACGGAAATAAAAGAGGAAAGGCAAAGAACACACCGATGTATACTAGTTCACCACCTCGTGGCTAGTCCAGTTCCCCGAGAGACTCTCTCGAAGCTACCACTACTTCCGTTAAGCTTACGGGTGCTTAACAAACCGTTTACAACTCGAGAACTTGAATCCCACAAGCCTCGACACAACCGCTCGTAGATATGCCCTCTACAAGACTTCACAACCAAGACTTAAGTCACATAAGTCTTGAACAACAAGAAGAACAATCTTCTTCA